AAGGAAGCTGGAGGAGGGAAATGATCCAGCAGGGAAGTGAAGCTGGGGGTGGGGGCCAGTTAGAAACAAAAAAGCAATGAGAAAAATCAAGCAACCCCAAACCTGGTTTTTAGAGGATCAGTACAGCTGATCAACCTCTGGCCAATGTGATTGGAGTAGGGGTAGGAGGGAGAGTGAAACCTCAGCCGCCAGAAAAGAGCTCAAGCCTTTCTACCCAAACTCCCAGGCCACGTGGCTTCTCTAGAAGAGACGACCAAATATTTAAAGAAGAGATAATAGCCATTATATACATTTCTTAAAAGAATAAATAAAGAGGAGAGAGTACTTCCCAACTTCATGAGTTTAGACCATCCCATACAAAAGTAATGTCATAAGAAACCAAAAGTGTGCACCACCTCTCCTCAACCCCAAGTAAGACTAAGATTTTAGCCAGCAGAACCCAGCTCTCCATGAAAAGGCTAATATATGGTGATCAACTGTGGAACTAATGAATAGTTACTGCAACCAAATAGTTAGAAAACCAAAGCAACCCATTATATGAGGAACTCAACAGGGAGAAACACAAGCTGATCTTTTTTGTTGTTTGATACAGACTCTCTCATAGCTCAGGCTGGTCTGCACTAACCATACAGTCTAGGTTAGCTTCAAATGCTGGGTCCTCCTGCCTCCAAACCTCTTGAGTGTTGAGATTACAAACCCACCCAACCCAGCTGACACAGTCATCTCTTTAAGGTTCAGAAATGGCGTTAGTAAACATCCATTCCTGACTTACTTAAGGGGGAAAACAGCAGCTCTCAGCAGTGATGTGGAGAATTCTGGGGGGGGGGGAGACTAGGAGGTCTAGGGCAGCCCATCCTGCTGCTGAGAACCAGCGGGGGGTGGGGGGGGCCTGGGATAGCTGTCCCCAGACCCCTGCTGTGTCCCCCCTGCTTTCTCCAAAGGGGTTGTTCACTTGGGCAATCTGTCTGGGAGAAGCAGCTGCCGACATAAAGGGAAAGTTGCAAGCAGTTTTGTTTATAGATAACACAGGAATCTTATCTGATAAAATCTTAAGAAAAATTTGAAAATAGGGGGGTCTGGTAAGGTTGCAAGAGACAAGATGGATACACAAGATCAAATTTATCTCCATGGAATGGTCTGGCATTGACATCTTCAAGATGCCATTTTCCAGGAATATAAAAATAGTTATGACAGTGTGAGATACCAATATCTGGAAAGCAAAAAACAGAACTGAAAGACATTCTTGGATAAATGGGGCTGCTGAGGGCTCATGTTGATAAGCAGTTCAGTTCTCCCTGAATTTGTAAAAATTAACTGGAGACTGTAAAATTTAAACCTATGGTGAAACCTGCTGAGACTGAGATAAAATTGTTCTGGTCGGGCCCAAACAACTTGAGAGCCGGGAAGCAATAAAGACCTCCTGCCTGACTGACGGAGATAACTACTTTCTCAGGCACATTCTGAAGGCCCACCAGAGATTCCTTCTCATTCCACACCCCCACCAGCTCTGCACGTATGCACAGAATTCTGCAACAAAGTTTATCTTTAACATTCTTTAAGCCTGCGGCAATGCCTACAATGTACTCTGGACAGAACACAACCCTGTGGGTATCTCCACCAAGGAGCTGGCGCCAAAGCCGCCCCTGGCCCTTCAAGATTGACAGGTGAACTTTGTTCCCCAGGAACTTACGTAAATGGCTCCCCTTTTCTGCTCTTAAAAAACTTCCCGTTGACCCAATCTTTGAATGCATGCATACTTTACAATGGCACCAGGGTTTCCGTACAATGTTCTGTAGATCAGGTCCCCTGTAAACATCATCACTGGTGATGGTTTTGTGGACGGAATCTCGCAAATGGCCCCAAGCAGCCCAAACATCCTTGAACAAGAACAATAAAATCAAAGTGCCCACATTGTGAGAACTAAAACTCTAAACAGGGTGGCACTGGTATAAAACACTGAAATAGATCAAGGGACAAGATGCTCCGGAGATGAGCACCACAGGACTTCTGGAAAAACAAAAAACCATTTTTATTGCATGTACTTATTTATTTTGTATGGAGAGTATGCACGCCACAGTGCTTATGTGGAGGTCAGAGGCCAACCCTTGGGCGTTGGCTCTCTCCATGTGGGTTCTGGGAACTCAATTCAGGGGGTCGGCTCTCATAGCCAGCGCCTGCATCGAGCTGTCACCAACTTTTGAAACAAGGTGCAAACGCAACTGAGTGCAAAACTGCCTCTTAGAGAAACATGGCTAGGACAATTGAATACCTAGATATAAAAAAAAAAGAAAGAAAAGAAAAAGAAAAAAAAGAATAATAGCAGAGCTCATACCCTATACAGCATGTAAAATCTATTAAAAAACAAATAACAGAAACACAGAACACAAGAGAAAATCTTTGTGGTTTGGGGTCACTCAGAGTTTATTAGTCTCAACACTAAAAGCATATTCTTTAGAACAAATTGTCAAGCTGGAATTTATTATTATTAATTATTAATTTGTTTCTTCAAATGATAACTACAGGGAGGCTGAGAAGGCAAACTGGGAACCAAGAGAGAGAATTTCTGCGTAGCATGAGATTTGTTAGGTCTGATCCAAGGTTAGAAAGTGAACTGCCAGTGGTGGCTCATACCTTTAATCCCAGCACTCAGGAGGCAGAAGCAGGCAGATCTCTGAATTCAAGGCCAGCCTGGTCTCCCAAGCGCTGGGATTACAGATGTGCTCCATAACTCAGGGTTTGTCAAGGGGTGGCGATTTGGCTTGTTCAGAGGCCACAACTACTACATATGGGCCAGAAAGGGATCCCTGTGATGCTGTTGGGAGGATCAGGTGTATTCTTAGCCTGAAGTCCTCCCTTACACCGACCGTTTTGTAATCTCAAAGTCTCCTGACATTTACCCAGAAACTTACACCCAGAAAGGAACTGAGGAACCCTGGTGAGACAGGCTTGGGGTAGGCAGTTGAAGTGGCAATAATGTTCCCTTTTATAATGTGACCTAAAATCAGTTGCTCATCACCCCCAAGGGACCCTTTCCTTCTCCTTTTCTTTTCCAGGCCATGAGGACCCCAGCTCACAGAGCCATGTGGCATCTCCCTGCTCAGCAGCTTCTTCATTCCTAGTCCTCTCTACTCCTGACTTTTAGGGAGTCTTTTTTCTCCTAGAGTTATGTACACTATATGTCACATCTAGGGTCACCTTGAATGCTTTCTTCACAGTGGGAGTCTCAGAACTGCCTAATTTTAGAGCAGGCCAGCAAGAGAGCTCAGTTTGGGTAAAAGTGTTTGCTTCCAAGCCTGATGAACCTAAATTCAATCTCTCTGACCAACACCATCTACAAAGTCTCTTCCCTAGCAGGCACAGCCAGCTTTGAATTAACTTTGGTTATAACCCTGAGCCCATCTTAAATATGGCTAACAACAATCCTTAATAAGGAAAGGAAAACCCTGTACTTTTCTGGTCCTCACATCCCCTTTTTTAGCCTTTGGCCTCTTGGAGGAGGTATGGAATGGGTAGTGTACAGGGCTATGGCAGTCCAGTCAGACTGAGCAACTAGTGACGGTAGAAGTGGGAGAAAACCCTGGAAGTCTGATCTGGAGAGGAAGAGAGAGGGGCCTCAGAACTCAGGCTAGGCTAATATCATCTGCTGCTGGGCCATAACCACATTCAGTTTGTGTCACTACACAGAAGGCTTGGATATGGGCAGGGGTCTGTGCTCACTACTCACCTTTAATTCCTTCATCCTAGGTGACCCCGACGGTCATTTTTATTATTAAATGGGTCACTATAGATGCTTCTCCCAGAGCCACCACTATGGCCTCTTCCAATGTGCTTGACATCTTCACCCATGTCTCCTTCCCTGAGATCCCAAAGACAACTGTGTTGCCATGGGGTACAGATTGAAACATACAAGGACTGAGGGAGCTGGAAAGCAGCATTGAGAACCTATGGGGAGAGATGGGCCAGAAAGCATGAGAGGGCTGCAATACCAGCAAGTCAGGACAAGAGCTATGGACAGGGGGTCCCTTAGTTAGGGCCAAGCTACAGGGGTCTCTGACCTGTGGGGTTGAAGACTTGTGAACAGAAAGGCCTTGGGAGGCTAGTGGCCTCTTGAAGGAGGTGTGGCCAGGGGCTCCTGGGACAGGGAGTATGCAGGACTGCTGGGCTGCAAATGTGGCTGGGCAGCCAAGAAAGGGAGGGAAGGAGAAAGGAGGGGGTCCTGGGAGTCTTGCCTGGAAGGGAAAACAACCCAGTCTGGGTTGGGAGAGGGGCCTTAGTTCTCAGACAAGAGGTCCAGTCCACCCCACCCTTCCCCATCTCTGCTGCCCAAGGGATTGTTGGCGAGGCTATGACTGAATTGTTGAGGGGGCCTAGGGTCCTACGTGGGATGGGGCAGGGTGTAGCCTCTGATGTGCTTATTCGGGAAAGGGGACAAAGAGCTGGCAGAGCCTAGAGAAAGGCTAGGCTGTGGAACACAGGGTGGGGGCTGGACGGCCAGGCCTTGGTGAGCCTTATGGGGTGGTTTGGTCCAGTCCAGAAAAAGGGGAGTGGAAACAAAGGTACTGTTGGGCCACCTACAGCAAGAAAGCAGAGTAGATTCACAGAGTAGATCTGGGGATACAGGGTGTATGATTGTGCTTGGTGGGGTCATGAGATGTTGGGGTGGGGAAATAGGACAGTAGTTGCCCTTTGGAGAATCCACCAGCCAGCAGTGCAGAGATGCGGGACTGCTCTTGGCAAAGTGTGGTGCCGGGTGCTTAAAGGCTAAAGAGCAGGGAGGTACACTATACACCTATACACTACATCCTGCGTGGTATGCAGGATTCTGTGCTGGGGCAAACGGGTACAGTGTGAACACGTCCTTCTTGCGGGGTCGGGTGAGGGGCGGGGCTGTGCACTGTGTGTAAGGCTGAGAAGCGGGATGCACTGTGCCGGGGGCGGTGCGCAAGCAGCTTGCGGTGCACGGTGGGGGCGGGGCTTTGCGAGTGCGGGGTTGGGGGTGGGGTGGGGTTTTTGAGTCACCGAAGGTGCGGGGCCCTGCGGTGCAGGTAGAGGGTAGCGCGGCCTCCGGAAGCGAGGGGGCGCTGTGCCAGCGCAGGCTCTGTGCGGGGCCCGCGTCGCTCCTTCCTGACCAGGAGGTGCGGCTGCCATGGCGCGGAATGTGTTGTGAGTAAAGTTGTAGCCCGGCCGAACGGGCTGCGTAGGCCAGGTCGGGTGGGTGCGGGGCCCGGGCCGGAAGCCGGAGGCGCCCGCACGCGGTGGGAAACCCGCCAGGGTCCAAGCGGCAGGGCCACCGCGGGGTAGCGTCCTGGCTGTCAATCACAGCCTCTGGCTACGGCCTGCTTTGGCAAACAGCCAGGGCTGAACCGGGATTGTCCAGTGCCTGCAGGACCCCTGGCCCAAGCCCCCCAAAGTTGCTACATTCACTGGTCTCCACGTGGCAAGCAGTGCTGGCCTCCCACAGTCTAAGCCGGAAACACGTGTTGAGTAAACACGTGACTCACTGGTTGGGTGGCCCCAGGTTGAGCATTAATGCGGTTTTGAGGGTTCTCGTGGAAGCAGAGTTTGAGGGGACCCTGCACACAGAAGGGGAGAGGACTGGTGGAGTTGCTTGTGGGCAACCTTGTGATTTCTTTCTGCAGACTGGCTGGGAGATACCAGGGACCTCAGAACCAGGCCAGTGTGAGGCAGGGCCAATCTAGTTAAGCTTATGTGCTCACCCCCTGGCTTTGCAGGGTGCTGGTTGGACCCATGCGTGAATGGGTGATGGGTGGATGGGAGTAGGATGAGACCAGGGATGAGATTTGATCTTCTGGAGGACAAGTTACAGCCTACCAGTGGGGAGCCAGGCTCCCATTGTGGAGAAGAGAGAGCCAAGAGTTCCACTTGAGATACGCTGTTTGGGGTGCTTGTGAAAAAATGGTAGAAAAGAAGTTACAGGAACCATAAAAGGCCAGGCCTCAGAAGAGCAGCAAGGGTGGGGAACAGGGAGGGTCCTGAGACCAAGACCAGGCTGCAAGTTTTCCAAGGGGAGTCACCAGGCTTGGGATGTGCCTGGCAGTCTGTGGGGAGAGTTTGTGGGCAAGGGCAGATCTAGGGAGAACAGAAATTTGCAAATAGTTTGTGACTTCAGTGTGGTCTCAGGGCCTCTGATCTCAGGGCCTAATCCAGAAGACTCCGAGACTAGGGGTTTTAGTGAACACTGTTTCCCCTTTCTATCCTAAGGAAGGTCTTCCCAGATTTATCTTCATGCTATGTCACAGATGGGCCCTACTGATAATGTGAAGCCCCTTGGGTAGCACAATTGACTTGGATGTGTAAATCAAGGCTCTGTATCCCCTTTCAGAACCTGCCCTTTTCTTTCCCTGCCCTCTTGGATGCCTGGTCCTACAGGCACAGACTTCCAGGTCCTTTCAGGGAGGCCCTGCCAGATCACTGATAGCAATCTCTAGGCCACTGGTCTGCTAACAATGTATGGACTTGATCATTAGGAAGCTCTCTTGAGCCACTGGGTTTGGCAAACATTTAGCAATGGAGCCTGCCTTTGAGGTTCCCACCATGGTACCTTGGGAGTCATGTGAAACTCAGGTACCTGCTTCTCAGCTCTGAAACCCCCCTGGTGCTCTCAGCCTGGTGCTTCCAGTATGGTGCTCCCTGGACTTGGAGAGCCAGTATATACTTCTCCAAAGCTGGATCATCATAGAATTCAGTCTATCAAAGGGCTGAGTGCTCCCAGGTCTGGCCCACATGCCACACCTCTGGTTATCATTGTGACCCTAGGTGGTCTTGTGTACCCACCCTCCACCTGGGGACCGTGAACTGTGCATCTCTAGTAATCCCACAGAACTTGAGTTTCTCCTCTCCACTTCCGTGTCTGCTCAGGTGGGCATGGATGTGTGCAAGACCACCAGGCAGAGAGTCTGCTTTGTCTACAGGCCTAATAATGGTGGGAAACTGGCTGTCCTGCCAAATCTTGCTTGTTTGGGTAGTTTTAGGAGTCCAGTAAGGTGTTGCCAGCTCAGAGCATCATGTTGGAAACACTGTTTTCTGCAACCCCAGCCTGTTTTCCTCCCCCTCAAGGAGCATGGGCTCTTCTCTGCTGGTGGGGGAGAGTGACCAGGCTGGCCATGGAGATACCCAGAAGCAGGAATTAGGCCTTTGGAAGAGGTGGTATCTCAAGCTGAGTACCACCACTGCCCTGTTTATGAGGTTCTTCCTTCCTTGTTCTTACAGTTTCACAAGCTGGGACCATTATTCTGCTACCATGCCATAACTATGAGCCTCAGTTCCTGGTTTTGTTTGTTTCTTTTTTCCTTTTAGCTGCCCCTTTGCCCTTTCTATAGGTAGACTGTAGTGTCAGTAGTCCTAGCATCCAGAAGGGAAGCCAAGGACTGGGAAGCTGCTTGCCCCCATACTAATGAAACCATGCAGTAGGGACAGGTCCTATGTATAACTGGCCCACCCTGCCTTGACCCTGCTGGTGTTGAGTGGACACATGAGTCTGCTATACTGTGTGTGTAACCCTAATCCCCTAATTTTTCCTGAGCAGGTACCCCCTCTACCAGTTGGGTGGCCCTCAGCTTCGTGTATTTCGGACTAACTTCTTCATTCAGCTGGTGCGGCCTGGTACTGCACAGCCTGAAGATACTGTGCAATTCCGGATACCCATGGAGTAAGTAAGCCCCAAAGGAGTTCAGGGACTGGGGAGTGGCCTCCGGGATGTGGGTCCTGTCCTGTTTTTTAGCTCAGCTCCCCAGGGCCAGCCTTTTCCTGTGGTGGGAAGACCTGGGGCCACTTTGCTTGCTCAGCGGATGGTGGAGGGGCCTGGTGTTTGCAGAGCTTCAGGCAGCCAAAGAGTAAGCATGCTCTTGGCTGGCTTCCTGGCTCACCCTCCACCTGGGGAAAGCTTAACAGAAAGCCTGAGATTTGTTGAATTCTTGCCTCCATCCTTTTCCCAGGAAAGGAGTCCCCGGAGGCTGGGTTGGAGCATGCTGAGATTTGCAGAGCTTCTAGAATGTTAGCTCTGAGTTCCTCACCTTGTTCTACTCAGTTCCATGTACCCCCTTTTAAGGAAGGTTCAGTGCAACTCCAACTGCCTGTACTGCTCTGAGACCTAAAATCCTCAGGGACCAGCTCAGCTGGGCCAGAAGGGTCAGGGGGCGGGAGCAGATCCCTGTAGAAGCTGGGTTAGGGTCTCTTCAGCTTTATAGACATACCCAGGAGATTATGGTGGCCAGGGTTGTGCTGAAAGCCACCGTGGGCTTCATCCCCCCCAAGTTCTAGAGCCCCTCTGGCAGCAAGTGTCTCATAGACCCTAGGGGCCAGTCTCGAGTTACAGATAGGAGCCCAGCCTGGCTCCGGACCTGATATCTTACATTTTATCAGGGTGAGCCCAGCTGGCTCCAGGTGATGATCTCCAGGTGGAGAGGACCAAGTAAACAATTCTGACGGGAATCAGACCCTCATCATTCTTAACTCATCCTTTTGTCTGGAGGGGACAACACTGGAGCCAGCCTCACCTGGCCACAGCTGCTCCTTGGACTTTCACCCTTATCCCTGGGTAAGATATCTGTCTCTTTATCTAGGCTTAGCTCAGTCTTGTTTTCTTTCTGTCTCATCCAGGATGACCAGGGTGGACCTTCAGAATTACCTGCAACAGATTTACAATGTTCCCGTGGCTGCTGTGCGCACACGGGTGCAGCATGGTGGGTACCTGTGTTAGTGGCCTGCCACCAGGAGATAGCCCCTTGCCTACTTCATGTTGTCTTCAGACTCTCCATGAGGGGAAACGAAGGCCTGAGGGGCTTGGGTGACTTGCCCAGCCTCTTTCTTTGTAGCTCATTGAAGGTCCCCAGCACATTTAGCTGTGACCCTGAAATGTCCTCTGTCCCTTAGAACCACTTCCTCAGCCTGGGCTGGTATCTAGTAGGCCTCTACAGTCTCCTCCTGTAGTAGATCCTAACGTAGTCCATCAGTGGCAGATTAGTGCCCAGGGCTGGCTAGTAGTGCTGCCCTCCTAAAAATGCCCTTCCTAGAGAATCTCCATTTCACCAGAGAACAAAGAAATCCCTTTTGTTCTATTACAGTCTTTAGTTGTCATTTCTGTTTTCAAAAACTTCTTTTTTGTCATTGTTTTGGTTCCCTGAGACAGTTTTTCTGTATAGCCCTGGCTGTCCTGGAACTCATTCTGTAGACCAGGCTGGCCTTGAACTCAGAGATCTGCCTGCCTCTGCCACCTGAGTGCTGGGATTAAAGGTGCGTGCCCCCTCCAGATGGCTCAAAGACTAATTTTACTTAAACAGAGAAACTGGTTTTAGTGGCTCTACTGGGATGTCTGTCTGAGACCCCTCTCTGGTGTTCAGCCCACCATTTGAAACCCTACTTTCCGCTCCACCTCCAGATGATATCCTGTGCCTTACTGGAAAATGGTTTCTAGATTGTGGGGCTTCTCAGGGGCCAGAAGTTAAGGCAGGGTCTGGTCTGCTGTCCCCTCACAGGCTCCAACAGGAGGAGGGATCACAAGAATGTGAGGATCAAGAAACCAGACTACAAAGTGGCCTACGTGCAGCTGGTGAGTGAGACTGCGGCTCTGTTTCTGCTCACTGTCTCATCTGTGACCTGGGGCTGTTTGTGCAATGCACTCCACCTTACCAGAGCCCAGACCTGGAGACCTGGTGCAGGAGGAGCCCAGGTCCTAGTGCACCTCCACAGATCATCTCTGTGGAGGACATGGGGTAAATCCATTCCTTATTTTGTGCCCATGCCTTGATTACCTGTGTTTGGAGCAAACAGAAATCAGAGGGTGAATGTGAAAAGCTACAGCTCTGTGAGGATACCTGGCTGGGTTCAGAGTTAATGTTCCCCTAGGAGCCCAGTGCCTTGAAAAGATTGAGATCTCTGGGGTATGTGCACATTCTTCTGTTAGCCATGACAGTGATTCACCTCATCCTTTCCTGGGGTCCTGGGAGAGGACTTCTAGTCTAGGCCTTTATTCATAAGACACAGACCTCCCTGGAAAGAGCCACATTTTCAAACTTGCTCTCTCTTAGAGCCTCTGTCCTGGACCCACTGTCCTTGAGACCAAATTTTAAACCACAAGTGTCCTTTGGTCTCAGTCTAGGGACAGAATCCCCTTTGACCTCTGAGAATCTTGCAGGGAAGACTCTACTTGTCAGGGTCCATTAACTAGCCCCCTCACTGCTTGAATCCCACAGGGGGTCTTCCTTCAATTTCTCCAGTTTCAATGTAAACAGCCCTCTAGGGAGCCCCAGCCTCCACAGCCGGCCACTAGATGGCAGTCATGCTATTGAGAATGGGCTCCTCCCACCCGCCAGAGCTGCATGGCTGTTCAAAGACCCTGTGAAGGAGGCAGCTTTGGTGAAAAAAGAGCTACAGTTGTTCTAAACAGGGCCTAATGTTTGCTGTGCATAAAATCAGCCCATGCAGGTGGGAAAAAAAGGTCTGGGCCCTCTGAAGGCTTGTGTGTGTATTTGTGAGCTGGGTGTTGAATCCACCCATCTGTCTCTGTCACGGCCTGTGGGGCCACATCCATATGCTGGCATTTGCCACAAGTCACTTCTGAGACAGCTATGGTTACAAGTGGCTTTTGAGACATCTGAGCCCCTACATTCCCCTCCTCATCCCCACCACACTCATGAAAGCTGGACTCAGTAGTTCTTAGATCTGGCAGCTGCAGCTGCCACCAGGCATGTCCACCTTCCTCTGTGAAATCGTGATAAATTGAGGGGCCCGTCATGTTTCCACTAGGCAAGACTCCTCTACCAGAATTAAAATTTGTAACGCACCTCCTTCCCGGCTCCAGCCTAGAAATGGTTAGTGTTTGGGACTTCCTAGTTGTATTTGCAAAGGCTGTCTTTGTCTTCTTAGTATGTCTTTTAGGGGTGGGGGGCTTCTGGTAACTGCATTGTGAAGCTCAGGAAGGGCAACCAGAGAGAGAGAGACAGAGACAGAGACAGAGACAGAGACAGAGAGACAGAGACAGAAAGAGACAGAGAGGGGAAGAGAGACAGCTCATTGTGAGTGTGGAAGGGGAAAGGCGGGTCCCACGTGGTGGGCGACCACATTTTTCTTCGGAGAACTTGATAAACATCTTTTTGGTCTGGTGGGGAGGGAGCCTTAGCAAGCTCTCAGTCCCCACACAACAAAAAGAGCATTGACCATGTTTACACAGAATGGTGTTTGACTGAGGGCTGCACACAGGCCATGAGCCCTAGGCTCCAGAGTAAATGCTATGGGCAGGCACAGTCCAGCCCAACAATGGCCCATGAGGCCCCTAGGATTACTGGAGTCAGGACTGGCTTCTCCACTTTTTCCCTGGCCTTTTTTCCTTTCCTGCCTTGGGCCCCTCAAAACCGGCTCTCCCTCCTTAGAGGGTGGGTGGCTACATTTTTTCAAAAGTATGAAGTAATTATCTCTTAGAGATAGTCTTCATACTGGTACCCATAGATGGTGATTCAGGTCCCTTACATCTGCTCTTTTGAAATACCCCCTAGCCTCTTACATAGGCTGTCTTTATCTCTGGACCTTAAGTTGTTGTTTTGGGCTTCATCTGCCATCAAAGCCAGCAGTCAATTCTGGATGGGCAATCAGCTCTGCGTATAAGCTGCTGCCTCCTCCATTTTGCTTTTGAAACATGGTCTCCAGTAGCACTGGCTATCTTTGAACTCTTTGTGTAGCCAAGGATGATCCTTGTGCCTCCTCCTCCCTCCTCTATGCTAGGATTACAGGCATGAACAACACCAAGTTTCATGTGTACTGGAGATCGAACCCAGAACCTCATGGGAGCTAGGCAAGAGCTCTACCAACTAAGCTACATGCCCAGCCCCAAGGTATACACCTCTGACAGAGCTTACTAAGGTTCCAGATTCAGAATTCCCTATTTGTTCACCTCTGACACAAGAGGGAATGGCAGGAGGGGTCTCTGCCTCTAGTTTGGCTCTTTTGTGCCCCTTCCCTCTTACACCTCTTATCTTGGAGATGTTAGCAGAAGCTACAAGTGAGCCTCCCAGCCCTTAGAGCCTTGCAGAAATGGCTTCCTTCTCCCTTCCAGGGCTTTCACTAGTTCTGGCCCATGTGCTTGGGGCGCCAGGCTGGGACTCAGCCATGCTGACACACTGAACTTCTAGTGAAAGACGTAAAAGCAGTTAATTTGCAAAGCCGGGCTTGATTTATAGACTGCTGCGTATGTAGGTTTCTGTGTACGTTGTGTGCATTTTATTTGCCAAGTTTGGAGCCTGGAGGAGGGCAGCCTTTAATGTGGCTGAAGGCCTTTAGATATTTTGGATGGAAAAAGTTTTAGCATGGCACCAGACGTCATTTGTGTCCTGTTTTTCTGCTCCTGGTTCCTGCCCCCAGTTCCACCGGCAGCCGCCTGGTGAATGGGCCTTTGCTGGACTGCTTTTAATGATCCTGGGCTGGTGCAGACCCCTGTAAAGAGATAATGTCCATGAAAAGGGCCATTGTCCTGGTAATAGCCTGCTGGTGATAGATAAAGGTTGGAGGGCTGGCCTGCAAGGTGTTTGTTTTCCCAGCAGGAACCCTGCCTAGAGACACTGGCGGCTCATCATCCTGTTGTCTGTCATCCAGGGTCCTGGATCATTAGCAGCCCAGCAATGAGTCCCTGGGTGTGATAGGAAGGCTATCCTCTAGTTCTCAATTAAGCCCCTGTTTCTTTCTCCAGGCCCACGGGCAGACCTTCACTTTCCCAGATCTTTTTCCAGAGAAGGAGCCCAGTTCTCCAGACCCTCTGGAAGAGAAGCTACCCCAGCAGAGGCAAAGCAGCGACCCGAGGTGCCCTGGTATCCCTTCCTGGTTTGGCCTATGACCTATGACAGCAGAGTCTGGGCCACAGACCCTAGTGAGCACAGTGGTTCTGACAAGCCCAAATAAAAATTCTTTGTGGAGAAAGAACTGGTGGACACTTTGCCTTTTGTAGTGGATTATACTTCTGGGTCCCCGACACATGTGGTGCAGGAGCCCTGACAGTGGGTAGAACTTGAGGTGGGTCGGCATTCTGGGATTCAGAGACAGCAGTGTGAATATCTATACTTGACAGGACAGCTCAGGGTGGCTCCGTGGGAGCAGAGGCCCACTGCTAGGCAAACATATGATCCCCAGAAAATAGTCCCAGATTGCAGTCCTCATTCAGGGTTGGGGGAAAGGCTGGGAGAGAATTGCCTGTCCAGACAGGTTTTGGTATGTGTGATACAATGGCAGGAAGGCCGTGGAAGGGCAGGAGGGAGATCAGAGACAGTGCTGCAGGCTCCAGGGACTCTGTCATTGCAGGGAGATAGCCAGGCCATCGAGACCAGAGGCTATGGGTGATGAGACATGAAAGAGCCCCTTGGAGACAGTATGACTCTCATGACGGAGGTTCTCAAGAGATAACAAGGAGCAGAAGGCCAGCAGGATTGATTGCTAGATAAAGGCACTTCCCTTTAAGCCTGGGGGCCTGAGTTTAATCCCCAGAAGTCACGTAAAGTGGATGGACAGAGCAAACTTCACAAAATTGTCCTCTGATTTCCACACACATTCATAGCACCCATGCCCATAACATAGCCATCACGCATATGCAGATAATTTTTAAGATTTTTAAAGGCGCCAAGTCGTGCCTTTAGCTGTGTTGACTAGAATCATGAAGGCGTGTGTCTATCCGTTATTTTCAGCATCGATGTCTGAGTTTGTGTGTGTGTTGTTGTTGGTTTGGATTTAGTTTTTTGAGACAAGGTTTCTCTGTGGAGCCCTGGCTAACATGGAACTAGCTTTGTAGACCATTTTGGCCTCATGCTCAGAAATCTGCCTGTCTCTGCCCCTAGTGCTAAGATTAAAGGTGTGTGCCACTATTCCTGGCCTGAGTTTATGTTGATGACTGTGTCTGTATATAAGTATGTCATGGTGTCAGGGTGTCTGCCATTTTACTGACTGATTGAGTCTGTAAATGAAGTATCTCTGCCTGTGTCCCATGTTAGTGGGTTACTATATCTGAGAGTATGACTGTGTCTCAGAGTTATGTGTATGATTCTGTGACTGATTTTGTTTGTTTGTTTGTTTGTTTGGTTGGTTGGTTGGTTGATTGGTTAGTTGGGTTTTGGTTTCTCTTTGTAGTCCTGGCTGTTCTCCAACTCACTCTGTAGTCCAGGCTGGCCTTAAACTCACGGAGATCTGCCTGCTTCTGCCTCTAGAGTGATAGTATCAAAATCATGTGCCACCACACCCAGCTGAGATTGTGACTATGCTTTAATGCATCCATCCCAGTGTGTGTGTGAGTATGTGTCCCCGTGATTGTGACTGTATGTCAGTGTAACTGTCGAAATATGTAGATTGTGACAATGTATATGTCTGAGTGCAACTGTTTGAGTTTGTGTGTCTGAGTATATGACTGTGTGTCAGTATGTGTCTTGTTGTGTGTGTGTCTGTGTGCTGGTGTGTGTGTGCCTCACTGCCTTGAGTATGTGACTTTGTGTGTCAGTGTGCATGTCTGAGTGTGTCTGTGATTGTTTTAGTGTGTGTCTGAGTATGTGACTGTATATGTATGTCTGTGACTGTCTTGAGTATATGACTTTGTGTGTTAATATGTGTATCTGTAACTATGTGTCAAACTGTGTGTCACTGTATGTGTGTCTTGAGTATCTGTGATTGATTCTGAGTTTGTCAGTGTGTGTGTGTGTGACTGTGTGTGTCTGAGTATGATTGTGTGTCTCAGCGTGTGTCTTTTAAGTGTGTGATTGTGATTATGGCTGTTTCAGTGTTTCTGATTATGAGTGTGTCTTGGTGTATGAAATTTGATTCTAAGGAGGAAATTTGCTTAGAGACTTGGGGAGCAGTAACGGTGTCCTCAGACTGCTGTGGTAATTAGCCCAGTCTCCCCACTCATGTGCCTATGTGGCATCCTGCCCCTGTCTCTGCGTGCCTGGCTGCCTGAATTTGGAATTCCTGCTCTGCAACATGGCTCTGCTGTGGGCTGTGGGTTCTGAGCAGGGCCTGGGGCCCCCTGAGATGGAGCCAGTGCTCTCAGCCCCACCCCTGTTGGAGTGCACAGACGGGCGGGAGGAGGGGGGCATGCTGGCTGAGACTGAAGGCCAGCAAAAGCACCCTTCAAGTGTTGATTTAGAGGATGGGGAAGGTCAGGAAGTGGGCAGGAGAACTGTATTTTCCTTAGAGAAATAATTCATGGGGCCCCGGGCACGGAGGACCCTCACTGTTGGGGGAGGAAGAATCCCATCTTTCACGCTGCCTGCACAAGGAACTGTTTGCAACCTCCACAGAGGCACAGGCAGTCTTGGGGGCCAAGGTCACCCTTCATCATGTCCTGCTGGCTGCCACAGTCCCCCACCAGCTTTGGCCTTGTCACACACACACCCCACCAGGGCCCTCACAGGCCCAGGCTACATCCCACTCTTTTAGCCAGGGGAGGAGGAAGGAGCCTGTAGCTGCTGGTGACTGATTCTCCGATAACCTAGGAGGCTAACTGGGTAGGGGAGCTGGGGTGATCCAGTGTGCAGTAGTCACTTCAATGTAGAACCAAGTCACCTACAGTAAGGAAGCCTAAGTGGGCAAATGACCGTAGACATGGAAACAGGGTTAGCTTGCCTCCTTGTTACCAGACCGCTTTGCCATCTCTGCTTTGTACACATAAGCCCACCAACTCCACAGAAGCTGCAGTAGGGCAGAGCCTCAAGGGGAGACCTTCTATATTCAGCCCCAAAGGGTGTCTCATGATAGGGTGGTAGAAGGCAGGGGTGAGCTACTATAGCAGGCTCTTGTGCAAGTATACACACACACACACACACACACACACACACCTCATGAACCATAGAGAGTAACCCACTTTTGATCTCAGTCTGACTGGGTCCTGAAATTTCCATATTTCTCTCTGTTTTTCATGTGCCTTGTTGGCCACTCTGGTCCTGTGAGACTTATCTTTGAGGAGTGCTTCTTGCTTGGCTAGTCAAAACTGGCAGAAAAGTCCAGGCTTGCTCACCACACCACAGATGTGGACTGAGGAAAAATTCATAGGTTATGGTCTGGGATAGGGTACTCTAGAAGTCAGGACATAGGCCCTGCCTGAGGCTGCCTACAGCCCTAGATACATACTGTTTCCTGGGAAGAGCAGGCTGGGTGTCCCCTCCAACCCACAGACCTTCCCCATCTGAAGCATAAGGACTAGCTTTTCTGTGACTCAGTGTCCCTTTCTTTTAAATAACCCTCAAAGGAAGGGCAAATACCCCCCACCCTGTACGTTATGTCAGCTGAATGTGAGGACAGGGGAGTAGGACAGCAGAGACAACTAAGAACCCCAGAATGTAAGCTGTCTACCCGGTTAGCACTGATGAGTGTAGGAGACTGGAGTGCTAAGGTCTGGTGAGAGGACCATCTCTTCCTTTTGTTACCCTGGGCAGGAGAGAGCTGGTCTTGGGACTTTAGTGTCTGCCTTAAAAAAAAAAAAAAAAAAACATTGTTTGGTCTAGAGAAATGGCTCAGTAGTTAAGAGCACACACTGGGTTTGGTTCCCAGCACCCACATCACACTGCTCACAATAGCATACAGCTCCAGGGTGATCCAAGGCTTCTGAGCACTGCAAGGATTCACTTATGTGTACCTACCCCCCCCATACAGATGCACACAGACACATAATTAAAAGTCTTTAAAATAAAGTAAAATTGCATTTACATATTTATTGTATGCGAAGGGGTATGGAGATCAGAGGACAAGTTTCAAGACCCCATTTTCTACTTCCAGGGCATCTAACTGAGCTCCGCAGGTATGGTGGCAGGTATGGTGGCAGGTATGGTGGCAGGTATGGTGGCAGGTATGGTGGCAGGTGACTTTACCTGCTGGACATTCTCCCCCAGCCCATCATTTCTAACCTTTAAACAGCTTTACAGAGGTGTGGTTTGCACACTGGACAGACTAAACATCAGTGTGTGAGTCAGTGGCTTCCAGTGTGCTGTCAGAGTTGTGTACGTTTTCACAGACCCTCCCCCATGGCTGTGTGCCTCCCCAACTCCCTCCTTATCCTTCTCAGCCACATCTTACCTTCTTTATTTTTTTTATTTTTTTATTTATTTTTATTTTATTTTTTAATTTATTTATTTATTTATTTATTGGTTTTTTGAGACAGTGTTTCTCTGTATAGTCCTGGCTGTCCTGGAACTCACTCTGTAGACCAGGCTGGCCTGGAACTCAGAAATCCTCCTGCCTCTGCCTCCCAAGTGCTGGGATTAAAGGCATGAGCCACCACTGCCCAGCCACATCTTACCTTCTTCTGTTACTGTGGATGTGGTAACTCTAGGGACATCACATGAGTGATATGACAGAAGATCTGTCTTTCTTATCTTCAAAACAGTACCCTCAAGGTCCATCCAAGGCAGAGGGCAGGATTTTGCTCCTTTTCAGGACTAATATTCTGTGGTATGGGTGGACTGGTTTGTTCATGTGTCTGGGGACTTGGGAATTAATTATAGCTACCATCTGGGTCTTGGGACTGATGCTGTTATTCAAATTGGTTATGTGGGTATATGTTTTTGTTTCTCCTGAGGGGATTGTGCATTCTTGGCCCCATGGACCAATGTGCCATGGTCAAGAATGCTGGCTGTCCTTTGAGTAGGTCTCCTTCCCTGAACCCTCTTTGTTTCCAGGTTTGTGCCCATATCCCCAGATGTTGCTCCAATCATGGCCTCCTTGAGCTTCACTCTCAGCTCAAGCCTCAGGAGGCAGCAGGATTCCTGTATGAGATTTTAGAGGCAACTGATGGACACACATGTCCTTAACTCCACTCTGCAACCAGCTTTGAAGAATGATTCTGGGCCTGGGGAAGATGGCTCAGTTGGGTATGAGGTACTCGCTCTGCAAACACAAGGACTTGAATTAGCTCCCTGGAACCCCTGTAAAAAGGCAGGCATGGTAGAACA